AGTAACAGAAAAACCTCTGATTTCCTAGCAGTATCTCTACTGCTCCCTGTGGCCACCACGCCCACCCATACAACTGCTCTTTGAGTGAGATTCAGGAGCTCATGCAAAAGCTCTCTATATGTACAATAGCTCATAATGTGTTGCTTAGCTCAAAGGAAAACCTGATTTTTAAAAAGTGTACATTTACTTCATTTCTGCCTGATGTCAAAATATCACTAATGTCAGCTATCAGAGTTGCAAGGTGTCGTGAGCCCCAGGACAGAACTCTGTTATTTTTAAGTAAAATTGAAAGTCACTCATATGAGTCATCTATACTAATAATAGAGGAATATGCAAATTGTCCAGGATGCTGTCACAGTAACGACCAGACAGCAGGCTGCGTGGGGCGACCAGGCTGGCAGGGGGGTTAGCGAGGGATGACAAAAATGACTGAGCAAGCAGGCTGCCTGGGGTGACCAGGCCGGCAGGAGGGTTAGTGAGGGACAACCAAATGACTGAACAGCAGGCTGCGTGTGGTGACCAGGTTGTCAGGGTGGGGCAGTTGGGGGTGACCAGGTTGGCAGGGGGGCAGTTGGAGGTGACCAGGCCAGCAGGGGGAGCAGTGAGGGATGATGAGGCTGGTGGGGGGGAAGTTAGGGGTGATCAGGCAGGCAGGCAGGTGATCAGTTAGGAGCCAGTGGTACCAGATTGTGAGAGGGATGTCCGACTGCCAGTTTAGGCCTGGGGATCAGGCCTAAACTGGCAGTCGGACATCCCCCGCAGGGTCCAGAATTGGAGAGGGTGCAGCCTGGGCTGAGGGACCCCCCAAACCCCACCTCCATGCATGAATTTCATGTACTCGGCCTCTAGTCATAATATAAGCAAACTGTGTTACCCTCTATTGCATCAATATCAAAACTGTGTGATGAAATCTTCCTTCAGAGAAGGGGACTTGGCTCCCCAAGACTTCCTTAAAATGTTTCTCCCCAAGTCTCTTTCCTTCCTTTTTCTCTCCAACATCATTGATGACAGGAGTGACTGGTCACTGATGTAAGAATAATCTCAAAGCTTAATAAATACCAGCACCAAAGCTGTTTATAAATTAGTGGAATTAATTGAATCTTTAGGAGTTCTAAAACAGAATATAGACTATAAACGTCAGTGGTTATCTCTTTCATTATATAAAATTAAAAATAAACTTCATTTGCTGCCTAATTGGCAATAATGCTATGCAAAATTACCACATCTCACTCTTCGGGCAGAGGAGAGATGATGGGTAAGACACCTAGATTATCACACCTAGCTCCTCAGTAGGTATAGTCTCACTTCCAGTGGCAGTCTGCTCTTTTACTTTATCACCTTTTTTTCATGGTTTCTCTAGTAGTTGTATTTTGTATTGAAAACTAGATATCTAGGCATAATATTGTTGAAGTAAACTTTTAATTATCTCAGGACAGAGTGTACTTTTTAGCCCTTAAATACACAGTTTAAAAAGCTATTATGACCCTTACTTATTCTATAAAGTTAGAATTTCAGGCAACACTGGTGAGGCTGATAATTTTTATCCCTAGTGTCTGCTCAACAAGTAGGCTGCTTCTTAGAGATCAATGTCTGAAAGGGATAGGCAGAGAACACCCAGAACACCCTGCCATTTTTGGTAATGTATTCGAGTAGCAGCAGAAATCAGAATACTATACAAAGTATATACACACCAAAATTATATCTTAAAAACAAAAGTTAAATAAACATATATAATCATAAATTCAACCTCATTGGAATTCCTCTTAATTTCTTGTTCTGAAATTTTGTTATACAATTACATATCCGGATTCCAATTGTTATCAATCATGAATTCCTTTTGTCCCGATTTTTATTATTCTTCAAAAAACTTTAAAAACAGTGAGTCAGGTTTGTGTCATGGTCTGGTGTAGTGGAAGAATCATGGCCCTAAGAATCAGGTACTACCAGGTGCTTACCAGCTATTTGATTATTGCCATCTCTAAAACTGAAAAGGATACTTCTTTTCAGGGTTGTTGTGAGAATTCAATATATTAAAGTGCAAAAAATTCTATCACTTAAGTTATTCATGTATTGATAAATTTTTATTAGTGTATTACATTGTGGGTAGGTACATCTATGAAGTGATCATTATGTATGCGGCATCCTGCATGACTTGGGCAGAGTGTGGAGAAATTTTATATTTTTTAATTTAATTTCCACTGTGTATCTAAATACATATCCAAATTTTTAAAATCATTTTAATTAGGATTCTCTCTGGAACTTCATAAAAATGTTACTGTAAATGTTTAGAATGTTTATGTGATTGATTTGAATATTTGTGTTAGAGGTTACATATCAATTCACAAGGTGATATATTTTTATGATGATTGCTTTTAGGAAAATGTTTATATTAAATGTCATATATTTTAATGTGCAGAACACCATTTACTAACCCTGTGTCTTATTGTGAATATTTGCTGCCCAAAGTCACAATTTTAGCCTAGACACAAAGATCCTGTGTTGCCTAAACCAAAGACCCAAATTTAAGTTGCAGAGGGCTTGTCATGGCAGTCAGAGGGTGAATACTTGGAGCACACACTTGCTGCTGGGTCCCTCAGACAAGCAATAAATATTTAAAGCAGCATCTGGAGTTAGGCACAGGGGGTTTGAATCTCAGATAACTAAATTGTTTTATTTTTAGTTTAATGCTTGTAAAAAAAGAATATAATAATAATACAAATCACCTCAGGAGTTTCTGTGAAGAGTAATCATGTTCTGTATATATTCATTATTATCAATATTATTGTCATTTACAATTCAAAATTATTGATAATTTAATATCATTAATAATGATAATTTAGTATTGCCTCTATCGCTACACCCCACAGTGAATCTATTTCATAAACACACACACACACACAATTTTTTCTTAACTGTTAAAAAAGGTAATTAACCTGTACACATTTAACAACTATGAATATTAAGAACATTTATTTAATGCTTAACATTTATACATCATGGTTCAGAGACATTATCTCACTTTGATCCTTACCTCTTAGAGTCTAGAAGAAAAAATCATTATTATTATCCCTGTTTGAAAAAGAAATAAAATTAAAGTCCATGGAAGTTAAGTGACATGATCAGACTCGCACAGCTAGTCATTAAGAATAGATATTAGCACCCACAACTTTGCAAGAATAAATATAGGAATTCAAGTACTGAAAGCTAAAGGCAGGGGATTTTTTTCTCATAAGTTTCTATAGTACTTTTGGGACTTAGTTATAAACTAACATCATAAAATTCCGAACCGATTATTATATACTTGCCATAGTAAGATGTTGAGTCTTCTGAAGGTCATCTTCATTGTTTAGTCTGTTGTGACTATGTTATTTCATAAATGATGTACCTATTATTGTTTTAATAAGGCCCTCTGATGCCACACCAGAAGTAAACCTTTTATAGAAATGTAAATAGCAGAGGCGGCAAGAGGTTGACAAGAGGTTGACAAAAGGAAACTTTTTTTTTCTGGAAGAACAGTCTTCACATAGCTTGTGTATCACATGCGGGGGAAGGAATGCCATCCTTCTAACACTGTGCTTGCTTCTAAGTGAAATGTTTTTCATTTTTACAGATAGCGCTAACAGAAACAAGTAAATATTATAACCAAAAATTTAGAGGCTCTGATAACAACTAAGTATGTTAACATTTACCATGTTCTACCAGAGTAATAATCCCACATGCCTCAAAAGGAACTTGCCTCTCTAGTAATCAGGAAAATACACATTAAAACCAAAAGCTATACTTTACTTCTCTCAGGTTGGCAAACATTCGGAAGATGCATAACAATTGTCTGAGGTTATTGAGAGGCAGGATTGACCTGATCAGGGTAGGATCTGCAGCCACCCTCCAGGAGAACAGTATAGGGGTCCTCAGAAGAAAGCTGATACCCTGACCTGATCAAGTGCTCTCACTCTGGGCATGTCCACTAGGGAAATTCATACGCAAGTCCATGACATGTTGTAAAAATTTCCATTTCAAAACCATGTCAAGCAATTTGAGGCAATCTTCATGCCATTTACTAGAGAAATGTATAAGGAAAGAATGTCATGATTGGCTCGCTATGGAATTAGAAGCAATACATTTGAAATAGCTAGAACAAAATAGAAACATAGTATTGAGAGTAAGTTGAAAAATAAAACATTCAAAAAATTGATACAATCGTATCAATATATCTATAATAATGAAAGCATAATATGCTAATTACACTGGACATCCTCCCAGACGAAGCTGGGTCCCGGGTGCCAGAGGGAAGCTGGTGCCGGCAGCCGGGGGAAGGAAGGCCTACTTTTGCATGAATTTCGTGCATCGGGCTTCTAGTATTTTAATAAATAACTTCCTTGCAATATGTGGACTATTAGAAATGCTAATATGTGATACTGACTGCAAGTGTAAAACAGAAGTCAAGGAAATGATACTTCTTGGGTGAAGTGTATTGGTTAATAAAGTGTTATTATACTATCTTTATTATCATTATTAGTCTTATAAAAAAGTTGTAGAGCTACCAGGTATAAAGGAGTTATTGACTATAAAAGTCACAACTCAATATTATAAGTTTTATGCTTTCTTCCATAATTTTGTCCATATCCGAAACTTCTTGATGCTTTGTAAAGTTTTCTATAAATTTTGGTTTATTTAGTTCAGTTCATGAACATTATGCTCAGTTTACTTGATTGATGATAGAGGTAGATAGATAGATAGATAGATAGATAGATAGATAGATAGATAGATGACAGACATATTCTTATCTAGATATGATCACATTGAAAACATTATCAGACTTTAAATACATTGCCAGCCTGAAAGTATCTTTTGAATCATCCTTTTAATTGGGTCAGGTAGGTACAATAAACAGGTAGGAAAAAAGAAGGATTTGGGTAAATGTGGTTCAAAAAGAAGAAGTCTGATATATTTTAAAGCAATGCTTATATTATATTCGTTAATTTTATTCTATTTCCTTACAGGTTTAGATGTTTATTTGGCTACTTGGCTACTGATTAGAGAACACAAAATGAATAACTCAACAAACTCCTCTAACAATGGCCTGGCTCTGACCAGTCCTTATAAGACATTTGAAGTGGTGTTTATCGTCCTTGTGGCTGGATCCCTCAGCTTGGTGACCATTATTGGGAACATACTGGTCATGGTCTCCATTAAAGTCAACCGCCACCTCCAGACCGTCAACAATTACTTTTTGTTCAGCTTGGCCTGTGCTGACCTCATCATCGGTGTTTTCTCCATGAACTTGTATACCCTCTACACTGTGATTGGCTACTGGCCTTTGGGACCTGTGGTGTGTGACCTTTGGCTAGCCCTGGACTATGTGGTCAGCAATGCCTCCGTGATGAATCTGCTCATTATCAGCTTTGACAGGTACTTCTGTGTCACAAAACCGCTCACCTACCCTGTCAAGCGGACCACGAAAATGGCAGGTATGATGATTGCAGCTGCCTGGGTCCTATCCTTCATCCTCTGGGCTCCAGCGATTCTCTTCTGGCAGTTCATTGTGGGGGTGAGAACTGTGAAGGATGGGGAATGCTACATCCAGTTTTTCTCCAACGCTGCTGTCACCTTCGGCACTGCCATTGCAGCCTTCTACTTGCCAGTGATCATCATGGCCGTGTTATACTGGCACATATCCCGAGCCAGTAAGAGCAGGATAAAGAAGGACAAGAAGGAGCCTGCGGCCAACCAAGATCCAGTGTCTCCAAGTCTGGTCCAAGGACGGATAGTGAAGCCAAACAACAACAACATGCCTGGCCGTGATGACGGCCTGGAACACAACAAAATGCAGAATGGCAAAGCCCCCAGAGATGCGGTGACTGAAAACTGTGTCCAGGCGGAGGAGAAAGAAAGCTCCAACGATTCCACCTCCGTCAGTGCTGTCGCCTCTAACATGAGAGATGATGAAATCACCCAGGATGAAAACACAGTTTCTACTTCCCTGGGCTATTCCAAAGATGAGAACTCTAAGCAAACATGTATCAAAATCGTCACCAAGACCCAAAAGGGTGACTCGTGTGCCCCGACTAATACCACCGTGGAGCTGGTTGGTTCTTCAGGTCAGAATGGAGATGAAAAACAAAACACGGTCGCTCGCAAGATCGTGAAGATGACTAAGCAGCCTGCAAAAAAGAAGCCCCCTCCTTCCCGGGAAAAGAAAGTGACCAGGACAATCTTGGCTATTCTGTTGGCTTTCATCATCACTTGGGCCCCCTACAACGTCATGGTGCTTATCAACACCTTCTGTGCACCCTGCATCCCCAACACGGTGTGGACAATTGGTTACTGGCTTTGCTACATCAACAGCACTATCAACCCTGCCTGCTATGCCCTTTGCAATGCCACCTTCAAGAAGACCTTTAAACACCTTCTCATGTGTCATTACAAGAACATAGGCGCAACGAGGTAAAACATCTTTGGGACAAAGGAAGGCGGTCACGGGGAACTTGGGAAGAAGAAGAGGGGTAAAAGAGCTAGTTTTAAAATCTCTGCCATTGCACTTTATAGTCTTATTATGGATGTGCAGTTAAGGAGCTCAAAAGTGACACTCTTTTGTGCCTCTGCTCCAGTTTGGGAAACTCACCTCATAAGCCCTGCCAATGTAGGAGCAATGAGACCATGAAAGCCACACGTTGAACATGTGGATTTAAGAATGCTCTACACTTTCTGTCTCTTGAAGAAGGGCTTCTGAATCTGCGATTTTATCAGTTTCTGCACAAGAAGAATACTAACCTTGCTCCTTTTTTGTTGTTGTTCCCACGTATTTATGTAAGTCAATGAAAGGCTACAGTTACAAGCTAACATGGAGACTTAAACATAAGGAAATAGACATTATGCCATAGAGAAGAAAGGAATAAAACCAAAAAGAGTGTAGAAACAACCTCAGAGTGCTAAGCATATATTACTCTTCTTTTCTTATGGTTTTACCTGGAGGGTTGCAATATTATAAATGCTTATTTTTTACCTTTGCTTTTCCTCACATCAAAAGAAAACAAACAAAAAGCCCAATGAGACCACATCATTATTTTTCTCGTTCTGGCATTTGTTTTTGTACTGTTCTACACTGTGTGAGGGCAAATTATAGAGGACTTGCACTAAACCAGAGACAGCCATGAAAAAGGGGCATTTCACCCCTGATCACTGTGTCCTTTGCATTTTTTGGTGGTATAACAGCCTATAAGGATATAGTTCAATTATGATCCTTTATAGGAAATGGTTTCACCAATCTGATTTTCTCCCAAACTAGCCTCTAATTTTAATAGAATAGTCTCCCTAATACATAAACATGTTTGAGAAGCCAAAGTTATTTTTTTTAAATTGAGGTTTTATCAAATTAAATAGTTGTCATTAAAGTTGGAGAACGTTTACTGAGGCCAGGCAAATTTTCAGATAAGAAAATGGGCGGTTGAAAGAACATTCTGTTTCAACCTGAATCTGCTTGACCTGCATGTGAAATGCTAACGTGTAAAACATGAACGTCTGGCCTTTGTCAGCAGGAAGAACATGCTGCCTTTTTCATTTTGAATTCTGAATAGAATTAATATACTCCCGTGGCACCAGTGACCTCTGGGTCAATCCCAAGAAATTAAGACCTTCCCCTCAATGCTTTCTGAAAGCCAGTATTCAGCTCATGAGGCTGTTTAGAACCACCCTATGATCCAATGGAGAGAGAAAAATAAGCAATTAAAAAACATTTACTGAAACCATATATTCCTCATTCCTCAACTGTCATTTCTCCCCAAAAATGTTTAACTTCAAAATTCCATCAATAGAAGTATAGTAATCCTTGTGACAGACATGTAGTGGATAACTTAAACAGGCCAGGTGAGCTCAGCAGAATCTGAAAGAAAAACGTAGTGGCTGTACCTGGTCATTCTCACATGTCTCTAATACTAGACCATCAGAACGTCATGTCAGAAACTAATACCCAAACAGTGGCTTTAAAGAATCTTCTCCATGTAGATACTTTTTATTTGGTACCCCAAATAAATATATGATTATATTATTCATGATTTAACTAGTTATTTTCATTCCTCCTTTGTTTTACTATATTCACTGTAGTCTTCCAATTAGATTTTCTAAAGATGACTCAATCAATGGAAATAAAAGTTATAAAACTTTATTCAAATTTCACATTCTGCCTTTTAGGTTTATGGTCTTCATCTTGACCAGTTATATATCTATGTGAGCTGCATGACGACTAAATCAGTATTAGACATTAGCAATTTAGTTACTTTGTGTGACTTGCCTCATTGATGGCATCTCAACAATTTTGAGAGTTAACCAAAAGCACAACACAAACAACAACAAAAAGAACAGCCAGGAAGAAGCAAATTGCCAACAATGTTTTAATTTAACTTTATAAAAATAACTTCCTAGTTGAATAACTTCAGTCATTCCCCCTCGCCGCCGCCCCCCCCCCCAAAAAAAAATCTTCCATGTATAAACACACAGCATCAGTTCAGACAGATTCCTTCACACTACAATGATGTCAATGTAAACATTTACATTTTAAATTAATATTTATTTGTATTTTATTTCATCAAATCCAGGAATAAATTGTGTGGAAGGAGCATCAAGCCAATAGAGTGTTTGGTTCCCTTTAAACAAAACAATTGACTGGCTGAATGTTTCACTTACTAACTTGCACTACTATGGTGTAGATTCAGCTTTAGTGGAATGAACTCTTTGGATCCAAGGATTGAGGATTCCAGATTCTGGTCTCTTGTAAGCAACAATCCAGCTCACTTTGAGTCAAATTGCCTGTTACTCGCCATTGTCATCGCATCCTTCCCTTTGTTCCTTTTATTTTTGGTCTTCGTCACCTGTTATTGAAAAAGAGAGCATCAAGGATTGAAGAAAGGAATTGAAGATAGACTGAAACATCTTGGAAGTTTTGTCGACCGGAATAAAAAAAATGGAAAGAATACTGAAAATGGTAGATGCTTAGACAGATATAGAGATTGTATTGAAAGGTTTGCATTAACTACTGCTGGATTTGTCTATTTCAGTGGCTTTCAACTGGGGATCAAGCCAATTTTGCCGCCTTCACAGGGGACATTTAATAATGTATGGAGACATTTTTGGCTGTCACAACTTGGGGAAGGGCTATTGGCATCTAGTGGGATAGAAGCCAGGGATGCCGCTAAACAGCTTACATCGGATAGCCCCATCCACCTGCCCCAACTAAAAATTATGTGGCTCAAAATGTCAATAGTGCAGAAGTTGAGAAACCCTGGTCTGTTTCAAGGGATTCTAGGACTTGCTTTGTATAAGTGGGAAAATAATCCTGTATCACTATTAGAATATCAATGCCAATTGCTCACCTGTTTGAAAAAGATAATGCTCACCAATCGTGATTCAGACGCACTATCATCCACTGAGTCCGGCGTATTTGTAATTCACAGATTGGGAACACAGGCCGCACCTACATATCCAGAATCACCAGACCAGGCACATAGCACATGGTTTCCAACATCTAGTGCCTGACTAGATTGCCACAGAATCCAGGCAATTGAGGTTTCAGTAGTTGGCCATTAAAATGGTTGTATTGATGTAGTCAGTTTCTATTGGCACTAACATTTGTCCTTTCAAAAACATTAAGAGCCTCTTTCGGAAGCAGTATGATTCATCGCCTTTGTTTTCACTGGAAAGGTGCATATCTGTCAAGAATTTCTTCTCGTAGCAATAATGTAAATATCACAGAGTGGTCTTATCAGAAGAGGAGATTAAATATATGAAAATGCCAGGTCATTTCTTGAAAAAAAAAAAAAAAAGAGAAATGATTACCCTTTTACCAGTTCATCATTAATTTAATGGCAGATCCTGTGTTAAGACAAAATCTAATAAGTCATTTTACATTTGTCCAAACCGATAGAATGTACAACACCAAGAAGGAACCCCAATGCTAACTATGGACGTTGAATGAAAAAAATTATGTGCCAATGTAGATTCAGCCATTATAACAAATGCACCACTCTGATGCAGATGTTGACAGTGGGGGAGGCTGTGCGTGTGTGGAGACCAGAGGGTATATAAATACTCTCTGTACCTTTCGCTCAATTTTGTTGTGAACCTAAAACTGCTCTAAAAATAAAATTACAATCTAAAATAATAATAATGATAATAAGTCACATGAGATTAGCTTTCCAGCGTGGATGTGGAAGCTGGAGGTCCCACATACTCCTACTCTTTGTCCATTCACTGCTTTTTTTAATCCTGAAGATCTGATATTGGGGGAAATGGGAGTTCAAACTGATGACAATATACCTGTAGAGATGCAATCTACTTTTATTTTCTCCTACTTAGTTGATTCTTGCCTTTTCCCCAGTTTGATAATATCCCTTTCAACAACCACAGCACTGGTGTTGCAAATAGACTAGGGAAGCACCCCAAGCCAGATGACTTGTGCAAAGTGTATTTTCAGCATGTATATACAATACCATGCCTCTCCAATATGCTTCTCTTAAGAGGGTGCACGCGGCAGCATGAACTGTGTGCTTATTTAATGTATCTTCCTGGGATATGCTGTATGCTTAATATACATATTCTATAAATAAAGCAATGAAATGTATAATAGAAATACATATTTCTGTATGCAAATAAATATATTATCCACAAAAATCTTAGTATGCAATATGGTATATGTTGCTTCAGAGTCACAAGATAAGCTTTTATATGCCCACTTTTCAAAGAAAGTAGTACTTGCTTTTGAAGGAAGGGGTGTAAAAACAGCCAAAATCCTACCCATATTAAGACTAAAATGTTTTCTACTCTTTGAAAGCATGGCATTGATTTTAAATGTCTCTTGAAAGAATATATTAATAAACCTTTGCTGGTGTCACCCCATGTTTCAACAATGCTTTTTGCTCCTCTCTGTCTGGCCTCTGACTAGAACCTTCCTGGCTGCTACAGTCCCAACAGCTGTGTTGATCTCATGTCTGATTGCCTGATGAGATTGCAACCAAGTCATTGACATACAGCTTTGCTCAACTCCAAAGTAACTGATTTTTGTCAAATAAAAACTAATCATCCCAGGAAGAAAGGATGACCTTCAGAATGGTTTGCATTCTGAACACCAAGGTAAAAGTTGTGCAAGCACTATATTTTATAAACCACTCTTTCCAATACAACATCCCATACAATAACTCTTAGTGTAATGTTACGGTGCAAGTTTCTCCAAGAAATTGAAAAAGAGAAGGTTTGTCTCTGTGTTCTACATTTTTTGCACAGCACTTGTTTTCCTATCTCCCTACCCACATTCCCCAGAACATTTTCCGTGGCCCATTAATAGCATGAGTTCTTAGCAAATATTGTTATGATTTGGGGTGTGCAATCCCAAGAGATGCTTGCATTTTAATAGAAAAATCATAAACATTGAATATTTGAAAGACTTATGTTAATCTTTAGATACAACACATGCAGTGGGAGAAATATTTTTTTCAATGAACTCCAGTTTTGTTCCAAATTTTGTAACATAGTCCAATGCCTATTCGTGTCCTAAATTTCTCCTTTCAAGCCACAATCGACTCTTGTGAATTGCTGTCTTTTCTCTAAACCAAAATCATTTCTGGGAAAAAATGAAGGAAAAAACTGAGTTTTCTATCAATTCTCATTAGTTTCTTATTGTTCCAGTGAAATGTTCTCATTTCATTTTTTAGAATTTGAATAGAATCCTGTTCTGATGAATTGTTAAATGCTACTTCTAACTAGATGGTTGCAAATACTGAGACAGGAAAAAGAAAAAAAAATTCTGCCCATAATAAACTTCTACTTTATAATATATATCAACCTTTCTCAACTAAAAAAGTGAAGAAGCAGAATGTGTTAAGTTGTGACTGTAGATATTTTTTAAGTAGGTGACATTGTAGAAAATTGGTTCTTTGGCTTCCTAAGCACACCCTCACACCATAAGTCATGGAAAACTGCAAAGAAAAAATGGCACCTATCTTCTGTATTTGAACAGTACACCCAGCTGTTCATCTGAATCTTTAAACTTTATCTTTACTGGATATATGAATATCTTTGGAGGTTTTGTCAAATGAAAAATGAGTACCCTATTATTAATTTTTGAGGACCTTCCATATTATTTTCCATAGTGGCTACAACAGTTTGCATTCCCACCAACAGTGCATGAGGGTTTCCTTTTCCACATCCTCACCAACACTTGTTGATTTATTGATGATAGCCATTTTGAGAGGTGTGAGGTGATATTGTGGTTTTGATTTGCATTTTCCTGATGACTGATGATGTTGAGCAGCTTTTCATATGTCTATTGGCCATCAGTGTGTCCTCTTTGGCAAAGTGTCCATTGAAGTCCTCTGCCCATTTTTTAAAAAAAAAAATATTTTATTGATTTTTTACAGAGAGGAAGGGGAGAGATAGAGAGTTAGAAACATCGATGAGAGAGAAACATCGATCAGCTGCCTCCTGCACATCTCCTCCCACTGGGGGTGTGCTCGCAACCCAGGTACATGCCCTTGACCGGAATTGAACCTGGGACCTTTCAGTCCGCAGGCCGACGCTCTATCCACTGAGCCAAACCAGTTTCGGCTATCTGCCCATTTTTTAATCGAATTGTTTGCCCTTTTGCTGTTAAGTTGTATAAGTTCCTTATATTTGGGATATTAACCCCTTAGAATGTATCATTGGTGAATATCTTCTCCCATTCAATTCCACTGCTATGTATGACCTTTCTATTACTTTGAGCACTTGGAGCTGCTGGAATCGTGGGTCAGCTAAGTGGTACCGAAAAAAATTCTACTGCATGACAGTGATTGTATGGAGTCCTGGTATGAAAACATGCCTAGATTGGAGAAATCCATCATACACATAGAAAACACATCTAAAAATACATGCCTTAATTATGAGTATCCCCAAACACTATACAACTGTATAATATTGTTCTTTTAATATCAATACCACTATCTAGAAAGCTCAGGAGAAGATATAAGTGGTGATTTCTCAGTACATTCCTTTGAAATCCCTCTCAGACATTCTTTTTAGGTTGATAGCTTCTTTTTCTTTTTAACCTATGGATGATATATAAATGCAGGAGTGATATTTACTCTGAATAGGCAACAGATGATCAAATAGTCAAAATGTATGGGATCGTGAATTAATAAACAAGAAGTCAGGCATGCTTGTTCCGTTTTTCGGAACAAGTAAGATGACAAACCAGATTATTTTTGTTTTTCTTGGGATTTTCACTATTTCACCTTACTAATAAAAATGTACATTGGATCATTTAAAGGCTAGATATTAAATGGCTAAATAAAACCATTTTATTTTTTTCTCAACTCTGTAAGGTAACTTGGCCTATATAAAAATATAATCTGAACAACTTTGTATTTAAGCAGAAAAATAACTAAAACGAATAAAATTAAAAGTGAAACAGGAAGCAATTAACCCTTGTTATGACATCCTGGTGATGGAAAATAATGAACAACTTATGTATAAGCTCTCTCAAAGGAATAACAATAAATATTTAATAGAACTTATTTTTTCCAAGTTCTTTGTATTTTATTTTTGGGATGTTTATTTCATCTGTTTTTAGTATTTTTGTCAAAGTCCTTACTAATGTTGTTTTAAAAGTAATTTTTATAAATGTTTTGAAAGGCAAACATAAAAATTGCTATTTCGCTAGAGCTTGTTGTTTCCATTTTAGTTGACGCTGTTACTCCAGAAAGAAAAAATAAAGAACTAATTTAAATATCAAAACAAAATACCACCACAAAAATATGGACAGAATTACAGCTTTAAATGAAAAAATAATTCTGTGTAATGATGGTTTTCTTATGTAATCATGTCTGAACATGGCATCCATTTCCTCTGTGGTCACACAGCTGTGAACTGTGTGATGGACTCAGGCCCTCAGTCACCCTGAGAAGAGCTCTGAACATATCAACATGCTGTTTTAGTGGGCACGATCACCAAAAAGTACAAGGAGTCATTTAAGGACTAGGTATTAAAGGGGATCTTGTCATGATTAACTATCAGGCCCATATCAGGAAGTTAAAGCCTGCCAAGCCCTTTGTTGAACACAGAGTTTGTGAGAAACTCATTATCACAAGCTTGGGAGAACTGAAGAAACAAAATTATTGGAAGCTTGGAAATAATGAAAAAGAAAGCCAAAGTGTATGCTCGTTGTACACCTATCTATTAGGAAACAAATACAATACTATTCTTTGGACATGTATAGGTTAAATATTTTATGTAACTGACAAATTGGAATTAGATTATATTAGCTATAATTCCTACAAACCTGTCGCAATAAAGGAATCTGGTCTTTTTCTTGTTTCCATTCTTTTGCTTTTTATTGAAGAGTGAAAAAGAACTTTCATTAAAGGGAAACACACGCATAGTGTAGAGTGCTAGTCTTTTTAAAATTCTTTATTAAAAGACAATTACTTAAATGTATTTGAATTTCAAAACGTATAGTAAGGTTATTTAATAAAGGAAATGTACACACTATTGAAGCCTATGTTCTTAAACAAAACGTTTTATATTCTATAAATTGTATGAGTGTACTTTTTGATAGCATCTTTAAAGATAATTCAATTTATATATAAACTTGATTAGATATATTATTCCTATTAATCCAATATATTTATACAAGTCTGCATAATTTATCCCCATTTTATTTAGAAAAGGAATTTAATGGAAAGTGATTCACAAATATAAGCAGTGAGGTATGCACCAATGGAAAATAGTCCACATACCAAAGGAGTGCTGGCTTAAGTGTTGATGATACATGTGTGCAAAGACATTCCAACTTCCAAATTCAGCAGGGAGGAAATGGTGCCAAATCCCAGAAATAGTTGGAAGATGACAGCAATTACATGCCATGACCTTGGATGTCTTTCTGCCAAGCTGTATTCCTAAATGAAGTATTATACCAGTCAGAGAGTTCAACAATAAATGCTTTTTTATGTGATTTATCGTGGTTAGAACACATTTGTAAACATCTTGGAAGTCAAACTCTAGGCACTCCTGAGTCCTCTTTGAGATAGAATACCACCTAATACAAGTTTCTCCTATGATAAAGAACTAATTTCAATGCAAACTAGCGGGAGCTCTGGCTCTAGCCTCAAAACTTTCATTTCACTTTCTCTACCTACCAGATGAAAACAGTTCCAGAGGACCTTCTCTATCCTATGCTCTCCCTTTTCCAATATCTAAAGTATTGGACAGAGGGATTCCAGATTTGCTTAGGTTTCTAGAAGTGCTTGGTGGGTGACCTCTGTAGGGAAGATTTCCCCTTTTTTATGTGCTTTCCCCAAATAATTGATGTTGAGATATTGATCTGGAACCCATTTCCTTTTTCCAAACAAGGAGAAGCAAATCAAAAACCACACAAACGAATACCAAATGTTCTCAAGTATACAAAGGCCAAGAATTACTATGATGTGTAAGCTTAGAGATTATTACATTCTTGACAATGAGGTGATGACAACTCCAGCTCTAGGAAAAGAGTCATTCAGACATATTCATCCACTCAAATTTATAATAAACTGACTTTCAGGATTGATATTATTTTCCAACTAGTCTCATCTTTGCCTGGAAACTTTCTTCACCCTTCTTTATCTGCTTAATTTCTAACAATCCTTTATGTAAAAAAATATATTTGTATTGATTTTTAAAGAGAGAGGAAGGGAGAGAGAAGCATCCATGTGAGAGATTGAAACACTGATTGGCTGCCTCCTGCACGCCCTCTGCCAGGGAGCAAGCTGCAACTCAGACCAGGAATGGAACCAGCAACCATTCGGGGCCCAAGGACGATGCCCAACCAATTGAGCTACACTGGCCAACAATCCTTTAAGGATGACAATATCAGGAATGTCT